ACAGAGAAAATCGATCAGACCATGGCCAACATGTGCAGCCACAACTTTAAATTGCTGGTCGAAAAATTCAGTTCACGCTTTACCGAAGGAAAGCCGACCCAGCAGCCGAAACCTCGGCGAACAAAAAATAAACACTTCAATGAGCACAATATGATCTATAATTCTTATCCCTGAATTCTGGCTTTTGCAAACTTGACCTCAAATAGTGCCGGGGAAAACGTATTACTTTGAAGCATACGAATTTGTGAATGTTTGGCTATTCAAAACGTGTGACAGGTTCTCTACTGCTGGTTCTGACTGCGTTTGACGTTTATAAGGATGCCAAGTGGTCAACTGCGGCCCAAATGTTCTCTCTCATTAACGAGGCCTTCAGGTTTGGCAGCTATGCTTGGGGGCACCATTCGCCCTAGATCGTGTTAACAAAAATACATACTTATCTCGCTTAAGTAGGCGTTTTTGCTCACCCTAGACGTCATGCTCACGGCCGAACTGCACCTACTTCCATCCACCGAAGCACATTCGTGATCAAATAATAGCCAGACGTCATGCGCAGTACCTTCGTGAGAAGCAGACCAGGGAGGCGGAGGAACTTCTGACAGCGCATCCGTTTTCCCTGCTGACGCAAACTCCGCCACAGCAGGAGAACCTCTTTCCGAACGTACACAATCTGCAGGAGACGACAAACGGTCTTCAGCTGACAGCTGGCAGTCCCTGGGGCCTCGGCAGCTTTCTGCCATTTCAGGCGACCCTAGCGTCCAGCATGATGCAGTCCCAGCTCAGTCGGATGACGCCTCCGGCCGTCATGTTTCCGTCCCCCTGCCTACCGAATTCCTCTCATCCGATTACCGACCTGAACGCCTTCCCAGTGAACTTCCCCTCATTCTCAGGCTGTGAACAGTTTTCCCCTAGTGGACTCGGCGCAATGGATCTGCAGAGGCTCTACGCGAACCAGCTTCTGCCGGTAAGCATAACCAGTCCATTTTTATTTTGATAGCTGATTTACTGCCAATAGTAGAGAATATGCGAGTTCTAGGAAGCAGTTCCGAAGAAGAAGATGCGATCACTGGAACACGAGTCTTATTTGCCTGACGTTTCGGATTCTCTCGGGAATCCTTAATCATAGATGATGATAACATAGCCATGGTCATGCGCAGATGGGGTGGATACATGCACAGGCTGCACGGTATTTATAATTCCTAGTGATCAG